CGAGGCGGCTGCTGGTGCCGTTCCCGATCCCGAGGCCGATCCGTGAAGTTTGTTTTTTTTCAGTCTTTGTGCTTTTTTGGCCGTGTGTGGCCCTTCTTAGGGTTGTCAGAAAAACCCACCGGGTCGGGTTACCCGCGGGTAACCCGAAAAATCGGGTCGGGTATACCCGATAAGAGCGGGTTTTGGGTCGGGTTTGGGTTTTTCTTTTGTACCCGGAGACCGGGTCGGGTCGGGTACGGGTTTACCAAAAAAACCCATTACCCGACCCGTTTACCCGACCCGTTTACCCGGTGGGTTTTTCTACCCGACCCGATATTTTACCCGCATACTTAATTACTATAGATACAAATAAATATACAAAAAATATATGTTCCAAAAAAAATAATTTAGTAACTAAAATATTTTAAAATTTTTATATATATTGAAAAATGAATATGGAGTATATTCATATAATTTGGACATAATATTTTTTTACTTCTTCTATTTTTATAAGTATGAGCATCACATATATAAATATGATCAATTTATATTTTTTATATAAAAAAAGAATAACTCTAATTATTATAAATGACATATATATAATAAATAATAATAAACAAGATAATAAGTTTATACGGGTGTAGTTTGTTTTATATATTTACATATTTACAAATATTTAAAATATGAGTAACTATGTATTATCCAAGTAAAATTCTATGTATAAATCTATGAAGTTGTGTCTTTACCAAATACCAAGTGTTAGATATATCTCGCTATATGATTTCAAATAAACATTATATTGTCAATTTGAATTTCAAATTACATCATATTACTCAACAAAAACAAAAATAAATTTCAGTGTTATATTTCATAATCATGTTTTACAATTTATTTTTCAATTCAATATAATTTCTTTATTCATGTATGAAGAGCAAGTAGAACATAATTATGAATTGTAATTTAATTGGAATATAAGAGAATTCTATATGTTGAATTTATCAATTATCTATGCCCATAATTTGTTTTTTTAATTTACCAATAGTTCTAAGTAGTATTATTTTACGTATCGTGATCTCTCTATTTCAAACTATGAGTAATTAAGCATTATCCAAATAAAATGCTATGCATATATCTATAACGTATTACCGTTGTTTCTTTAGAGTATGATCATCGGCAATTCGTAAAATGTCAAAATAGTGTATAATATGCGACAAAACTAATAACATACTTTTTTTTTAAAAAATCTATACATCTGTTTATTTTTTTACCAATTGTTTGATATCTCTCATTATTTCATTTCAAATAAATATTATATTGTCAATTTGAATTTAAAAGTACATCTTATTGCATATTTTTTAACAAACACAAAAATTAATTTCAGTAGTATGTTTTATAATCAATGTTTATAATTTATTATACATTTCAATATGATTTCTTTATCCTAGATGAATAGCAAGTAGAACGTAATTATGAATCACAATTTTATTGAAATTTAATACGATATTATATTGAATTTACCAATTACATATGCCCATAATTTGTTTATTTAATTTACCAATACTTATAAGTAATATTATTTATGTATCGTGATCTCTCTAGTTTAAAATTTGTGTATTCCCTTATCTTTAAGATCAAGTTAAGAATTTCAAATATTTGTTATGAAAATAATTTTTAAATCAATAAAAAATATAAAAGAAAGTGTACAAATAGTTTGGTATATAGATTGCGATTTTTAACTTTATATGTTTTACATATTAAACACTATAAAAATGATATTACTTATGTGATTGATGATAGTTCAAATGCATGTTTTTTTTTCTTTTTTTCTTT